TTGGTTGTGGGGGGCAGGGGTCCTCATACCCTTGTTACAAATTAAACATATAGAAAAATGTCCATGGTTTTAGATTCCTGCTTGGAACTGGTGGAAGAAAATGAGTGTGTTTTATCATTACACTTTTAAAATCCTTCGCCCTCATCCCCTTCAAATTATCTATCAAATAGGGAACAGTTCCACTTGAATATATCCCAAAATAAATTTAGTTTTTTGAAGCCCTGGAGAAAAGTTGGAAAAAGTGATTGATAGCAGGGTTCCTGACACTGTTTATCTTCTCTGTGGCTGTCAATCCTAGAACCATAGGAAGGTAACAAAAACAATTGATTTTACCCCAGGATTTGTACAGCAAACTGTCATCGTCCTCACCCTTATTCTCCTACTCTTTGTCAACTCTTGATTTACTGATGGAGCATTGCCCAGCATATGTCAGCACAATGGTAAAGCATGACCAAAGAGATGGTAGTCATCTTCTCAGTATCACCGACCCCTTTTTGACAAGCAGCCATACAATATCTAAACCAAGTGGAATCATGGACTTGAATTTAAGCTAAGATGTTCAGCCCGTCTATTTTGAAGACAGAAAAGTTTGTAGGAAATTGGTAATAGTTTATTTAACTGTTAATTAGCCTCCAAATCTAATATAGTTTCATTTAAGCTGGGGGGGGCAATTTTTTCATGGTTAGCCTGATATTAAATTGCCACTGAAGTTTAAGTTAAGCAACTAAAATAAAATCTTTCCAGAAGAAAGTGGAAAATCTCACCCTTTATTTCACTCCTATCCCTTCCCCCACCCTCTGTCATCCCTGTTCTAAGCTTTGGAGTGAAGGAAACTGCTACACTAATTTTTTTTTAAAGACCCTGAGTTCTATATGGTCCCATAAATAGTCTCAGGCAATCAAAATTCAGTTTCCTGAGTCAGATGAGCAGCTTTAATGTGGCTGAAATCCTGATGCTTAGCATAGGAAGTCACACTAGAGTAGTCCCACTGAACGAGTGGGGATTCAATGAGACAATTTATGTGTGAGTTCCATTGATTCAAATGGGCCTACTCCAGCCACAAGAATATTTTTTTTTAGAATTGGAGGGGGGCAAATTTGGAGCCAGAAGTGATACACACGGCCCATACCTTAAGCATGGTGTTACAAATACACAACACTTTGTTCACAGTGTTTGGAAATACTGTGGAGAATGGGTCAGTGAGTATAATCCTGCTCTTTTCTCCATGTGTTGACCGGACAGAAGTGCATAGAGCTTTTACCTAAACATATGTTTCATCTGATCATAAAATTAGTGCAACATATACAAATCCACTGAAGTCCCTCCCACCAAATAGATGCAAATCTCTGTTGAAATTGATTATTGCCCAAGAGTAATGAGCCTGCTCTTGAAACATACAGAATTTCAATAGAAATTATGGCCACTGAGTCAACCTGAGAACTTCAGGAATGCGCAACTGAAAAGCTTCACCTAGCAGGAAATGCACTGAAAAGACAAGGACATACTTTTGTTATGCCAGAAAACACAGCACCCACAGATTGCAATAAATTTATTTATTCCTATGACATGTAACAACTTGGAAACTGAACAGCTGGCACCTCAAATTGGAACATTTTAAAATTAAGTCTTAACGAGAAGAAATAAAAATCAACAAATTGTCTTTTTTATATATACAGTACTCCTCTAGTGAGGCATACTGTAAATCAGCTATATAACAAGAGGCAATAAAAACAGATTTTATTTACTACTACACTTCCTGCTACTAGTGATCAGGCAAAATATGGAAATTAATTTCTTATTCCAGACACACATTAGACATCTCATAAACATACATGCATGGTTACCTACAAAAGCCTAACTGCAGAAAGCAGTACACTGGAATACGCCTCCATTACAGGCAAATAGCAACTGAGTTTGCAGCTGCAATGGCAGGGTGAAAAATAAGACAGCCTTTTCTTTGGAGCAGCACTACATGTCCACTACAAATGCAGTTTTGCAAAATTTGCTCCCAATTTGTTTCCACACAACTAAACTTTACATTAAATTTCAAATAATATAGGTAGGATAACAATAAAGCACATGGATAGAATGGGGGGGGGTGAAGCTTTCACTTTCCCATTCCCCCCAAATCATAAACTTAACAGCTGAAAAGACGACAAAGTCTGCCCCCATTTCAGATCATAGGATTGTTTAAGTGCCAGCTCCTCCCCCCCCTTGGTTAAAGAGGATGTGTCAGGGAGGGGGTTAACTGGCACAGAATTCATGGCCTATGTCTCATCTTGTGGTCGGGTTCTAAAACCGGTGATGGTTCCCTCATTTTGGCGGGAATAAGAGTCGGAGACGGTTTTGAATGACAACTGCCTCAGTTTTATTAACATCAACTTCTGCACTAAAAAAATTAAATGGATCGATACAGCTTAATTCCGGGATCGTCTTATAACTCACGATCTTTGCTTCTGGGGTGAAAATGTCACTTCTCACATAGGGGCTGGACCAAAGCGCTCGTGGTCGGTTATCCCTCTCAAGGGGGTGCTCCTCACTGCACATACTGTCCCAAAACAAGAGTGTCTCGCCCAGTCCCCTTCTGGTGGTGGATTGCTGTAGGAGGAACTGGGATGAATCACTTTCCTCCCTCCACTTTGACTGCGGGGGTAAACCACTACTGTCCATTCTAGTGGTTTCACCCCCTTTCTTTCACTTCTAGGCAAGCCCGAATCAGGGAGCAATCCCCCTCCTGTCTTTAGAGTGGGAAAATCTCTCAGTAAGTCACAGACCTTATTGGACGCCTCATCACTCCCTTCTGTTTGTACCACAATGTTTTTGTACCTTTCTCTATCTTGTCAGTTTCCACTCTGAATTCCCACACGTCACCCCACTCTTTTATAACCTCCTCCCACACTATCAGATCTTGCTCCTCCCCTTCATCCCCTTCTTTCTCTTCTGCCAAGCACACCTCTACCGCCTTTCCCTCCTTCACTTCTTCTTCCTCTATTTCTACAAGGACGCCCTCTACACATCCACATGCCTCCTCCTGTACATCTTTGGCTGAGGATGGCTCACTAGCCTCCTGTCCTTCACACATCTATCCAACTGGAATCTTTGACACAGTCCAGCTGCACAGATATACAAGATCTACTACCTAAACCTGGACAGGAAACAGATTTCTAATACTGTATTGGAGTTACTACTATGGCATTTATAAAGAAACTTGTCTTCACTTCTGCATGATGGTGCACTCCCATGAAACGCAGTGACAAATGGAAAGATCTCTCTCCTCTGGTTCATTTTGTATCACACGCAGGACACAGTTGCCGTTAACATGACTAGTGGTTAGCCTGAGGACTCAAAAGTCTCTACTTCTTCTGTCACATCAATGTATCACTGACTATTGGCAATGTTATAGATACATGCAGTTGAACTATGTCCTATGTTATTTTGTCATGAGGATCTTAGAAACACAAATCTTTTCCTTGGGGTTAGTTATACTTAGAAAAAAAATGTTTTTTTTTTCCTTTCAGTGTATTTATTTTCCTGAGCTTTGTCCTTCTTGTAGGAGGAGGTTATAAATTACTTGATTTAGATATCTTGTTTTTGTGTGTTGTCATATACAATGCCCAGTTCATGCACCGGTCTGGAGACTAACAGTCTTGTGGCATCCCCATGACAACAACAAACAATGATGTAATAATGGATGATGGTGCAATATTTCAGTCCAAACAATTTCTGAATGTTGGCCATTAGGCTCATTTTAGCAAAAATGGAGCGACTGAGATAATATCCAGAGTTTGGGAGTAAAGCATTTTTGCTTGTTATAAGTCCCTTTTCTTTGTAATGAGGGTATAATGAAATCACATTTCAAAATCAATGTAACAAATGAATATAACATTATTCTACTGATGTAAGGTGTCCAATTTTGATGGGAATTTTTCAAGTTTTATTCTATTTCTTATTGATCTTATATCTTCCCCCTAGAATAATACAGTGGACCCTCTACTTAAGGAATTAATCCGTATTGGAACGGTGGCTGTAAGTCGAAACGTCTGTAGGTCGAATCTCCATTGACCTACAATGCATTGAAAACTGATTAATCCCACAACTGGCAGTTTTTATTCTATTTTTGTTCCATTTTGGTTTTTTTCTGGTCTGTAGGTCGATTCTCCGGCTGCAAGTCGAATCTAAATTTTGTAGCCAGAGAAGTCTGTAACTCGAAACGTCTGTAAGTCGAGCTGTCTGTAAGTCAAGGGTCCACTGTAAAAAGTTAGGGAAAAGTAAAGCAAGTAACACAATGGCTAAAACCCTGTTGTGCAGCTCTGTGTGCTAAACAGGGATGACAGCAGCAGCAGTGGCAAAGCGCCACTTATTAAACGTGGTGGTCACATGACCCAAATACAATAGGACAAAATCACCCGTATCCAAAATTGCCCAAGGAAACTTTTTAATCAGTGGCAATTTGCCACTGCTGTTGACGCATCACAATCCTGCATGCAGAGCTGTGCAACAGGATTTCAGGAACTGTGTAGGTTTTAAATAGTGAAACAAGTTATTAAAGCAAATTGCCCTTTAAACCTTCCAATAACCCTAGAATTATTTTAAAAGAGTAACTTCTTAAACTCCAGCTGTGCCACAAAAAGGCTAGAATATTGTTGCTTAGTGTAGTCAGGCATACTAGAGTAGGTCTACTGAATCAATAGAGACTTGGGGAATCAACATATCCATATGTTCCATTGTGGAATGGGACTACTCTAGTTGGGACATACTTTAATGTAGTAAGTCACAACTAGAATAGGCTCATTGAATCAATGGAACATATGGAGATGTTGACTCACTAAATCCCCACTGATTCAAGCACAACTTAATATGCTAAGCAACAGGATTTTAGCCAAAGATGTAGAACACTGAATACTCATTTTCAGGCCTTATTAATTGTTCTTCATGGAACAATCTCTCAGGATGATTTCTGAGGCCTATGTGCCCTTTTGTCAGACAATGTTTTCACTTACTTGTGCAGGGCGCTTCTGATGGATCAAACTCAGCACGGTAGTAACCATTGCGGCAAGTGCAGATGGGAGCTGCTTCTGAGGTGGAACGACTATTAGCAGGGCACTGTGTACAAACTCCAGCACCCTGGTTGGCCTTGAACATCCCCGCTGGGCAAGCTGGAAGAATATAGGAGAGAGAGAAAGAAAAGGTGTCTAGTTTTCCTCTGTATACATGGATGAAAGATACAGTGATTGAATTTTGTTTTGTTGTATTTAATCAGTGCAGTTTTAAAAAAGATTACTCTGTGACCAGAATAAACCTATTGAACTAACTGCTGAACTATCACTTACATAAATGCCTTGCAATCAGACTTAGACTAACATAGCATTTAGCATTGTTGTAGAAACAAAATGTAACAGGAAACAATACTAAGCCACACAAGCTGAAAAACAGAATAGATATGATTAGCCACAGACTTACTTTTCACCATGAATTATCTGCAGAGCTTATAGCTTTTCACTTTGCACCTGTAACATTATGTATGGTGTACAGAAGTACAAGCAACAGGAGCAGGGAAGTGAAGTTTAAAAGGAGGAATCAGAAAAAGGGGAAAGAGTTTCATTTTTGTGCAAGTCAAGGAGAGAGCAGGGAGCCCTGTCACATCTCTATCAGAACCTACTTCACTAAGGTACACTGTCTACCATGTCTACCATGTTCTCCCCAAAATAAACAGGGTCTTATATTAATTTTTGCTCCAAAAATGCATTAGGGCTTTTTTTCAGGTGATGTTTTATTTATTTATTTTCATGTACAACACTCTACATTTATTCAAATACAGTAATGTCATCATCTTCTGGTTGCTGCACAATGCTGAACACAATGGTGGAGAGTGGGGTTTCACTTAACTAGGGCTTATATTTGCTTTCACTTAACTGGGGCTTATTTTGGGGGTAGGGCTTTGTGGCAGATGCCCACGTCACTCCTGTCAATCACATCGGAACCTTATTTGCATGAGCCAATGGGAGGCCAGGAGGGGCGGGGGCAGAGTCTTGAGAGTTCGTCAGAGGTGTCAGTTAGGGAGAATCGGTTAGAGAGAGTGAGAAAAATGAGACAGAGAGATTTGCAGAAAGAGTTAGATAGTCAAAGTTAGAAATGAGAGTTGTAACATGTAAATACATAAGCTGGTTAAATTGCAAATAAGTAAACAAAAGAGGACATTTCAATGATTGTGATTCTGAGTAAATAAATAAAGAACACCTGTAACTTTAATAAAAACTTCCAATTGTTGGCAGCCAGGGTTTGAATAAAATAATTTACATTGTGCATAAAAGAAATCCACTGGTGGCAGTGAAAGAATGTCACCAGTGTGGACCTGTGGTTTGTGGGAAACAAACATGGCATGGGGTAGACGTCACAGGCTTATATTATGGGCATCCTGAAAAATCATTGTCATCATTTAGTCGTGTCCGACTCTTCGTGACCCTATGGACCAGAGCACGCCAGGCCGTCCTATCTTCCACTGCCTCCCGGAGTTGTGTCAAATAAGCCCTAGTACAATGAAAAATTGTAGGTTTTATTTTGGGGAAAACAGGGTATATTATGGAGAACATTACTCCTTGATTATGCAAGTAAGATTACAGAAAACAATACTTGTTGATGTGCATGGTGATATACAATAAGTGTTCAGGTCTGCTCACCCCTTCTGCAATTCACCACTTAGTTTTTCACCCCTAGTAAGCTGCAGTTGCTCACATCTAAGTACCAAATGGCAAACCACTCCAAGTGCAGTGAAAGACTAATGGCAGCAAGCTTCCATATATGGACATGTTTAGCACAGGCCTTCATTATTATGAAGATTATTGCTGACTTCAGTCGTTATGAATAGGTCCATACTTGGGGGAAGGGTGGTAGCCCTGAACCCCTTCATCATTACATTCATAATGTAAAAGAGGGAGAGCCCGATCTATTTGTATAGGCTCTCCACATAAGTTATTTGAAGGCAAACAAACAAACAGCTTCTGGTTCACATGAAGAGCTTTCAAAGATGAGACAGTCTCCATGTGATGGAAGTGCAAATTTAAGGGGCAAGGCTAACATGCCTCCTGATTGCATGTGGAATACTGATGGCTTCATAGCAACTGAATAGTCTTCACAACAACTAAATATGTACTCATTGTTTTAACCACTGATTAATCATTATGTGCCATCAAGACAATCCCAATTTATAGTGACCCTTCTAGATTATTCTGAGTGTAAAATATTTCAATGTATCAGTCTTTCCTTTTGGTGGCATTCTGGGAATGTGAAGCTATGGTAACTCTTTGACACTAGACAAGAGACTGATGGGGAGCACTACATTGGGGCAGGAATAATAAATTTATTGAGCAAAAGCACCTTTATAATTACAGCTCTCTCTCTATAGAAGGCAGATCCATGTGTGCAACCATCTAGAGTGTTGGTGTGACCCTCTCTGCTATTAAGGAGCAAGTATATCCCACCCACATTGAAATGGGGTGAAACAATCTCTTGATTTCTTAGGAAGCAGATAATTTTCTCTGACAAAAAACAACAGTGGTTTCCAACCTTGGGACCCTGAATGTTCTTGGATTGCAACTCCCAGATCCCTGGCCAGCACAGATAGTGCTGAAGGCTTCTGGGAGTTGCAGTCAAAGAATACCTGGGCTACCCAAGGTTGGGAATTGCTCTAGCGCTACAAGTATTCTTTAAATACTTGCTCCAGGATATATCTCATCGTCAAAGAATACCTGGGCTACCCAAGGTTGCGAATTGCTCTAGCGCTACAAAATATCATTCTTTAAATACTTGCTCCAGCATATATCTCATTCATAGTATGATTTGCAGCATCCTTCAAATTGTCCCCACAGATAGTACCACCTCTTTGTAATATTCAGCTTTGAAACACAACCAGTTAAATAGCATCTTGAAAAGTTTTGGTCACGTAAAAGTTTCCAAACTGGACTTAATAACTCCTATTTTGCACTTGTCTTCCTAAAATCACCATTCAAGATACCCTTGGAGGTACATTAGATCAGTAGATAACATTTGTACCTTCTTTTCCATATTACTGAAAACAAGAGTTATTGCTTACTCAGACCCATCTCTGGGACCCACTTGCAACATATCTGTAAGTTCTGCTTCTGGCAAACTGAGAAAAATATTTTGAAGGTTGATATATGTTTCATATCCAACTACAAAACTAACAAAGATTTCTGATTATGGGCAGGTCAATGCCTTCAAACAGATGCAACTTCGTAGAAAACATCATTAGCTGCTGGTGTTCACTCATTTATTGTTTTTTCTCCTTTATCTTTAAATTTGGAGGGCTTTGAGTCAAGCTTCCATATTATCTATGCAAAATTCATGTTATCAGCCCTAAACTTTTCAAATAAGGGCATGAACAATAAGTAAAAAGAAATATATATTTCAACAACAGCAATAACATGTTTGGAGTTTCAGGGCATATTATCCGGGCAGTGCTGTTTGGCAAGAACTGGACAGCTGACCAGCCACCATATTTCCTGTAGCTTCAAAAATTGGCTCTAGCCTCAGTCCACTTCTTCTCATAAAACTGACTGTATCATAAACATCACTGGTGTTTACAGTTTAATTGGCATTTTTGGCACAAGAGCATATTTTTGCAGGCAAAAATTAACCAAGCCCAGGGGCTTTTGTGTTTGAAAGAGCTGTTTCTAGGTTTCTATCTCTAAGACGCTAATGTGGAATGATATACAGTGGGCAGAGGTAGACAGGATATTTGTTTTAATGAGATGGGTGAGCTGAAATGGACTGTTGACAAGAGTCCGGTTTGAAATCTCTGCATAATAGCTAGTTGTCTCTGCAGCAGTCTAAGGGTGGGAAGTGTAGAAGCTGAAATAAATTTATAAAGCTAAAACAAAGTTAAGAAGCATTAGCTTGACATGGAATTGTCTCATCTAATCATAATGATGGATGGTGCACCATTAAGGACAGAAAATCATACCGCTTATTCTCACTTACATTGTTCTCTTTCCTCTGATTGGCTGTAGGTGTCTGATTTGCATAATCATTGAATAGTAATATAACTTTGCATGCAGAATATCCAAGCCATATGACAGCAACAAAGATGGCTTATGAGGCTTCCCAACCACTGTCATGACAGGTAAGTGCAATAACAGGAATAGCGGCAGGAGAGAAAGAAGAAGCAAGAGATTATGTGGAGAAATGCTTCTTAAATCCAGCCCTCAGCTGTCCCAGTAGCTCGTTTCAGGTTGTTTTTCAATACGTTTTCATCATCCATTTAGAATGCCTCAGCACTCATGACAATAAGCTGAAGGGCCTTTTGATTATCTTCTAGTAAACTGTACCCAGGGCGAAAGTATTTCTAGGACACCTCCGAGTTTATTCATCCAGAAGCTAGCAATTAAATCATAAATAGGAAGCCCTTCCAATGAGAGAGATAATAATGCTTTAATCCTTACAAGCATGAGGATTCATTAATCAGCCGCTCTTCATGGTTCGTGATCTTATACACAAAGGAGGATGTATGGAGTATTTCTTGCCTCAACTTACAAAAAAGATGCACAGCCTGGAGCTGAATTACTTCTATTCCGGTTTCCCCTTAAGTATCCTATGTATCAGTTACAATGCAAATGGAAAACAATGGATTAAGGGAACTCTAGGACAGATTTCAGAACTACGTTTTTAACTAGATGCATAATTCAGTAGGAGAGAAAATAGGAAAGTTCAGACTGAGCTTGTGGGATGAGAAGGGAAGGAAACTAACCACAAAGCATTAGTTAAACAGAAGAAGGAGTTTCTATTTGCTTTGGTAAGAAGGCTGGAACTCTATGTGTAAATGGAATGGAATAAGGGGGAAATAAATCAATCCTTATATACACACTTTATCCCAAAGGTTTACCAGAAGAATCTAAAGGTAATCTGGAGTCTAACGACTTTAAGTATGAGCCAGAAGGAGGATAGCCCTTAGAGTGCTACAAACAGAAATTATATGAGATAACTGCAGCTGCTCCTCAACATGCCTGAGTATATTTTGGGATGCATTAAGGATCATAGAAATTAGGATGCTCCTAAACCAGTAGTTTCCAATCTTGGGTAACTGAGATGAACGGCAACTCCCAGAAACTTGGCCAGCACAGCTAGTGTTGAAGGCTTCTGG